GCTAGTTTATAATTTCCTTGGTCTAATAGTTTGGGTCTTTTTCTGACAATCATCAGGGTAATCTAGAAAAACTCTCATTTCTTTTCCCCCAAATGCTTACAGTAGTTACTAGTTACAAGGCGTACTTTAAAAATCGATCTTATATCTTTGGTCTTTTAAGAACTTCTGAAGAAATAGTGTATTGCATTGGCTTCACTTTTACCAAACAGAATTTACGTGTTTGATTATATGATTTTTCCCTTTCTGTCTAATAAGTAATGACTGCTGTACTAAGTAGAGGTTATGCAGAAAACATACACCTCTCTTTGGTATGAAGGTTTAGTTACCTTTTATCTGCAACTTTGTCTTTTCTTGTAAAAAGAGACTTTCACCTTCTGGAGACAACTTAGCGATTTTTATGGTTGTTGTGAAACATGAAATATTTTGTAACACAGATAAGGAGCTCTACCAGAATTGGCTTATTGTGCCGTGATAAAATCTATGCAAGAAGAGCAAATATAATCTGCATTAAAATAGTCATATAGAGAGGGTGGAGAGTATTGCTAATCTGCTTCACTGAATTAACTTTCAAGGACACAAATCTGTCATTGATGTTTTTAGAATTGTTTAGATGCTTAGATGCAACAGCTGATTTTCTGATAATTTGATCTTTTTTCCAGCCAAGCTCTGGGAAAGTATACCCTGCCTTTATACAGCTTATTACATCCGTGACTGTCAATAATGCACTGTCATTTTGTTGGATCTTGGAAGCATGTATCTTCACTGATCTAACTGAATCACTCAATAATACTGTTTCAGATAATTGTTGAAGGAGTTGTGGAACCATTGCTTGTACATTTTGAAAAGACACATCAATGTTCCAATTAAAGCATGTTCACTGTCTCTTACCTTGTTTTTTTGAACCTATATTGTATTTTGCCCCAATCACCTGTACCCCAACCCCATTATTTTCTGTCTAACAAAACCAAAGTTATGGTTTTGTCAACTCTTGACCTTCAAGATAAGATCACTATGGAAACAAAAATGTATGACCTTTCCTTAAGGTCTTTGCTATTGCTGGTATTGTCCAGTGCAAATTTTCTGACATTGCCTTTTATTGTATGGAATGCAGGTATGATCATAGCACAGGACATGCTGTTTACGTAGTTCTTTCAGTTTTGCTTTTTCATTTCATCATAACTGGAGCAGTGTTGGCAACCTGTTGTTGGTAAATCCACTCCCTTACCCCAATCCCCCTTCATTCCCAAAAAAAAAAGAAGTCCCTTCTTGCTCTATATCCTTGTGGAAATTTGCCGCTTTTCTTCCTATGCTAGTATGCTGTTGCTTCTCACTTGAATTGTTAAATAGGATGTTGTTGCTTGCTCAACTAAATGATTCCGAACTCTTGTATACTAAGCTATCATGATAAACCTGTGTGCATTAGATGGTATTTTTTTTATGATGAATGAATCATTGAGTGCTTGACTGTGTCTCAGTGGTGGGAACAATAAATGGAATCCTGTGTATTGGTTGATTTCCTGTATTTTAGCTTGGTAATTAGGGTATGCACCTGCCCTTTATATTACCTAGACGCTGATTTCTTAATTCTTTTTCTTGGATGAGCATATGATACTTGGCCAAACTTATGTATGTTGTCTGTGGGTTTTAAGTGGTGGACTCTCTTTAGTAGGTCTGTTCTCTAAATGACATCTACAAGTTTCTGTTTTTGATGAACGACGGTTTTTTTTTTTATTATTTTATTTATTTATTTATTTTTATTTTGTGTGTGTGTGTGTGTGGGGGGGGGGGGGGTTTGGGTTTATATAATATATAGTGTACATGTTTTGACAGAAAATCTGTATATAGTTCCTATCTAAACCAGAAAAGACATTTTTACTAGATGCTGAATACTATTGTTATTGATGGGTTTATGGTAATTTTGTGAGCCAATGGTTACATGTTTTATAGCCAATGAGCCTGTAATTTTGAAATCTTAAGTAATACAAAGATGCAATTTCGTTTAGTACATGGCCTGCTGATTGCTAAGGTCCTTGTTGAATAGGTAAACTTAATCTGTTGTAAATTCTGCCTGGGATGAGTGGGATCCTTATACTATGCTATGACCCTGGGACAAATATTGATACTTGATCAAGGAGAACATATGATGAGAGTGGCTTAATAATGTGAAAGACATATTCTTTGATGATTCATTATGTCACTTTGTGTTTGTGATATGCTGGGTCTTTTAATCACGTCTTGTGAATATATTGATGCTGATTTTGCCTTGAATGTACAGGTTTCTTACAAATAATTACCTAAGAGAAGAGGCTCCGAATAGTTATGTGGTTGAACAGCGGGTAGAATGGTGAGTTTGGCTTCTGGATGTCTACTTGAGCAAATTATTATATCAATTAGAATGGCCTTTGTTCTTGTATATGCTGGGTATCATGAGGGGTTTCTCTCTCTTTACTTTTGATATTGCATTCTAAAAGCTTGTGATTGCGTTTGACTTGACTGTGTGATTTGGTATGCTAGGCTCTATGCATTTGATGTGCACTGCAATTCTTTCTTCCCGATGTTTGTTTTACTTTATGGTAAGTTTCTGTTCTTTCAGGTATTTGCATAAAACTTTGTTTTCAGTAACTAGAGACATTTATACAGGCTTACTACTGAATTTACATGGATTTTTTTTTTAATTGCAGTGATACATTACTTTTTGTCACCGCTGCTTCTTGCACATGGATTCATACCTGTTCTGTTGTCAAATTTGCTCTTCATGGCTGCTGTGTCATACTACCATTATCTCAACTTTCTAGGTTATGATGGTAAGACTTACATTTTTGATCTGGAAATTTTTATTTGGTTGGAAGGACAAGACGGGTTTAAAACTGTTGCTTCAAATCCATCATGGCTCAGAATGACTATATTTATCCATGTGCGAATAATTCCACAAGCCAATGGCAAATATTGTCATTTTAGAGTAGATATAGAGCTTATTTCAAGATTTTGTTTCTTTTTTACTAATCCTTTGTCGTAATGCAGTGTTACCCTTCCTGGAGAGGACAACCTTTTTCCTCTATCCTATCGGCGTTGTTCTAATCCTTTCTCCAATTTGTAAGTATGAGATATTGTTCCTTTATTAGTTGTAAAATTAGCTTTATTAATTACTGTCATGATTTTGTCTGATTCTTATTCTATTTGTTATGCAGTTATTCTTAGTGGCTTTAATCCCTCGAGATATATAATGAACATGTACTTCAGTATGCGACTATGATTCTGAGGTTGAAGCTTGTGATGTAAGCACATACAGTGACCCGGAAACGGTAGATGACAGTAGGCAAACAGGAGGTGCTATGAATGTCCCTTGAAGTATGAAGATTTTCCTGATGGTCATTTGTGGGAGCTTTTGAATTTTTTTTACCCTATACGGCCTATTCCCCCCTCCCCCCTCCCCCCTTCCTATTTCTACAGATTTTTTACCTTTAATTTTTTGGGGCAATGGGAAATAGGATGCCGAGGAAGGGAATTGGTGGATCTTGTCAAGAAAATGCTAAATGTAATGGTTCCGCTTATTCTTTTAACCTGTCCGCTCTAGTAGTTCCTTTGTTGAAAGAATTCCGCACTTTTACTAATGTAAACTTGGAAATGTGAAGGCAATTAGAGCTTTACAAGCAGTACATGCAAATAGAAAATGTCTTTGTTTCTTCTGTGTATGGGTGTATGGTAGTGTTTTTGTACATTTGAACCGAAATACAGGTTGCTTGTTTGTTAAATACGAATACACAAGTTTGTTCTTTTACTGGTCAAAATGTAGGATAAGGGTGTTGCTGTAATACACGACTATCTGAGTTCATTGCCACAGTGCTAATCTAAAGTCCCAATCCAAGAACCTTAGACATAAAATAACTTATTTACGTAAAATTTCAGGCTAATGAAGCCATGTTCTCAGAATAAAAAGCAAGAGAACAATTTTCTATTTGTTAGGTGTTTTAGAGCTGCTATGCCTCCCTCTCAGACACCTGAATTTTCCGAATTGTGACATGGAGCTAATGCAAGTTTCCATGATAAATTCCTAAGATCCAACTGTGTAAGGATCTGAGGACTTTCTGGTTGCAACCACCAGAAGAGTCTGTTTGGAGGTGGATTAGATTAGAGTCGCTAACCTACCAAAACTCCAACTTTAACACTGCAAAGAAGTGGGAGAGTCGAGAGTCCAGGAGGATTAAAACATCTCCAAAACCTGCAGAGTTCATAGATGGCATGTGATAACTTGAAAAGTCTGTCCAGAGGGGGGTGGGGTGGAGCAGACCAACCTGCATAAACTCACAATTCGGACTTGGAAGTGCATGAGGGCAAGAAGGAAAGGGATGCGAGGGAAATTTCTTCAGTTCCTCTCTTCCTGTATTATCTGTCTATTTGCTAGCCTGGAATGAGTTTCAATGGGATTCCAGTAAATGACTGCTCTTCAGTCCTTATCCCTATCATAATGCTATGGCTTAACAATTCTCCCGGAATGGCTCCCTAGCTTCACATATTTATAGTTGCTTGTGATATCCTGCTGCCTATGTTGAACTCACTGCCAGACACAATGTGCCAGCTCACTTTCCTAAAATCACTTAAGCTGAAGAACTGCTTTGTCCTGACGAGAAAATGTACCCAAGGCAGGAAGGACTAGCCAAATTTAGTCATATCCCTAATTTTCATGTTTGTTGCACACTTGCACAGCCACATACTCTGAATCTCTCTATCCAGGACTAATCCAGGCCTTCCCTCTTAAACTGCCCTGCTGTTTGCAGATTACTAGTGCTACATTTTGTTTACAAGATGACCTCTGCAATGCCGTTTTATTTCATCTAGCAACTAAGATGAAGTTGCTCTTTTCTTTTTTAAGAATATATATTTAAAAAAAAAAAAAAAAAAACCACAATTGTAAATTAAATTTATGTATTTGGTTCCTTGCAAGAAGAGTTAGGGACAAAATGAAAAAGGGAAATGGAACGGGGAAAAGGGAAAGAGGAAGGTAAGACAAAAAGAATAGCTTCCCTTAACAAAGAAAAAAATGCTTTACACTCTGTAGATAACTACTTGTAGTTTTCACAATTGGGAAACCTGTTTCCCATTCTTCCCAAACCAAATACAAGAAAATGGGAAATCACCTTTCTTGGAAAATGTTTTTCTCACTAATAAACCCTCTTAAAAGATGCTGGCATTTCTGCGCTCACCCTAACAATTTGAAGTCAAAAGCTCTTTCGACTTAGCTGAGTTGCAAACTGATCAGCAGTAGTCACAGCACACGATGCAGATCCTATTGAACCTTCATATCTGTGTAACATGATGAAAATTGAAGTTACATATGAGGAACATAAGGATTGCTATGCACAAACACACTTGAAAGTGCAGTGTGCATTCAAAATATGATCATCTACTTGACAGTATACTAGGAACAAACTATCATTAAATGTGAGGAACAAAAGAATTGCTATGCACAAACTCACTTGAAAGCTCACTTGAAAGTGCGATTTGCATTCTATGTATGATGATTTACTTGGCAGTATTCTAGGAACAAAGTGTTGTTAATTGTGAGGAACAAAAGAACTGCTATGTACAAACTCACTTGAATGTGCAATTTGCATTCTAAGTATGATTATGATCTAATTGGAAGTATTCTAGGAACACATTGTCTCCATAGTATGCAATAGGTATGAAAAGATAAATGAAATATTTACACTTACAGAGCTACCAAGAGAAATGCTGCTGTCTGCATCACCACGACACCTTCACCTGAGGGCTTTGCTGTGTTCATGCACCTTGCATGAAACCAGTTCTCATGAATTGAAGTTACCAAGTCTACAACAAAAAGTGTCAGGGGTTAAGAAGGAAAGGCCAAAACAGTAGTGTACTGGAAGCCGGTAACATTTAACAAAGGATTGCACTTCCACGACCTGATTTTGAAAGTCTTAACTTAATCCTTATTAATTTAAGAATAGTGACAGCTGGGTACTGAACCTCATTTTCACAACCTATAATATGCGACATATTTTCATTGATTTGAGGAGAAGATTACTCAATACATAGGCCTTGTTTGGCAAATGGTTGTTGGCGGTTGGCTGTTGGCTGGTTCACTTGGCTTGTTTGACCAGCTGGAATGTTTGGTTGTTTATATGGCTTTTGAAATTGGCTGTTTAAGCTGGCTGTTTATAAAAGTGTTTGGTAAATTAATTGTTGGTTGTTGGCTGTTTATTAGATAATTTGTGGGCCAAAAAGCCAAAAGCCAACAAAAAAGCTACTCAAAGCAGCTTTTTCATTTTGGCTTAAAAGCCAGCTTTTTTGCTGGCTAAAAAGTCAATTACCAAACACATTTTTTGGCTGTTTGACCGCCTAAAAAAGCCAAAAGCCAAAAGCTAACCAAAAAGCCACTAAAAAGCCAATTACCAAACATGGCCATAGTATTGTTTTTGAGGAAGTAGAACTTTTCATCATTGCTACAAAATTAAAGCTGCAATTCTGGAAATATTCATATAAAACAGCTGAAGCATACTATGTAGAAATAGATTAATAAAAACACTTCCGAACAATAGAAATAATTTTGTAGTCATAAGTTGAGAAAATGAGCACAACTCACATTCATTTGGTCCAAGGAGGAAGGTCTCAGTCTGCAAGTTGTTGCGTTTTACAAAGTTTACAAACTGACTTAGTTCAATAGGATCTGCTCTATATCCTTCTTGCTCTGCACTGCAAATGCCAAATCAACCATCAGCAAGCTAGATGGCTTTCAAAGTACAGCAATCAGAAGAAAAAAAAAATCTTAAGTGTACATTAATCTCCTTTATTGAGCTACTAGATAAACAGCACCATACAATTCAGATTTTGCACAGCTTAACAATGTTGGATGCAACAAAAAGCGGATGGCTGGCTGTTATGTGCCAGTGTAAAACTGTCAAAGCCATAATCTCTGATCAACACATATTTTATTCCTCTACCAATTTATCCCCAACCATGTTAGACAGAATTAGGCCCTATACAACCCTATTTAGAATTTTATTTATTTATTTTTTATTATTTTTTTTTTTTTTTGTTGGTTTAAATTGAAGTATCAACGATCAAGTCTTCCCACTCTATTGGAGGAGTATTGAATATGGAATATCCAACAGGGATGCTTGAGATTAAAAAAACAGTCCAAGCCAAATAACATAGCCCTTAAAACAAAGAATCTTTTATATGATCAAGTTAGGCAAAACAAAACTGTTTCCTTTTCAAATGATCCCAATGATACAAGAAACAATATAGTTACATAGTGATCATTTATATCAAGACAATTAAGAGATCAATGGCCAAATTAACTAACTATAACTTTGCCTCCATACTACGCTACTTATACTTGGGTACTCGTATCAGTCATGTCCCACATGGGTATATGTCCAAGTGCTCGACTTGGCCACTTTGTGAAAATACTTCATGATTTTGGCCAAAATTAAGTGTTAAAAGTATCATGTTGGGGATTCAACTACTTCTAATTGAGGTGAAGTGAAAAGTTAAATGCTTTCAACTATAAGATTCAAAACAAATGCAAAAATCATTGCAAAATAATAAAATGTCATACATGGTTGATAAGAGGCGTGAGGGTCCTGTAGGATCATAGTTTACAAGTAATGCAGCCTTTAAAGGTTGCCCTACAAATTGAAAAGCATAATCAACAAATTGTTCATGAATATTAATAAGAATTTAAATCAAAAACCAAATTCAAACCCAGAAAATCAATATTTCTAACCTGAACCTACATTATCAGGTGCCCATTTATCCCACAATCTATGAACAGCAGTCCAATCCATTCATAATCAAGTAGAAACTGCAAGAAGTAAAATTTCAAAACCACCCAATTAAAAGAAATCCAAAACCCATCTTAAACATTCAAATTTATGAAAAATTAAAATTGAATTCTTAATTTGACAATAAAGCTATAAACGATTTTTGGGTAGGTCAAAAACTCAAAATTATGAAATTTCACAAATTTAGTGAGAGAAAAGAGAAGGGAACTTACAGATAGTGAAGAAGAAATCCAAATCCAACACCGTTGATTATGTTTCCGGACAAAAGTCGGTGCCGGGTAGTGGGAGTTTCAAGCAAGAAGAGAAAGAGTTAAAGAGGGAATATAGGAGTAAAGTGCTTCATTGCTTTGGGCTAACAAACCCGGTTGTGCATGGGTCGGGTATTCGAACCAATATTTAGCAATCGAATTGGATATAAAATGTGTTGTAGATTAGGGGTGTACACCGGTCCAAAACCGGACCGGACCTGTTTGGAGCGGGGACCTGAATTGGGTAATTATGAGGACCGGGGACCGGACTTGAATTAACAGGTCCGGTTCCGGGCCAGACCTGAAAAATCAGGTCTGGTCCGGGTTTGGACCTGAATGGACCTGTTTTGTGTCTTTTTCGTTTTTTTTTAATAAAAAACCTGTTGGACCTGCATATGGACCTGTTTTGTGATTTTTAGACCTGTTGCATAATTTAATAATTACATACAAACCAAAATTATCAATTACAAAACTACATAAAGTCTATAAAGTCCCGATTCTCAAACACCAAAAATACAAATGAGTCCACCGAAAATACAAATAAGTCCACGAAAACTCATAAAATTACATAAATTCTCTTAAGTCTCAACTCTCAAGTACTAGAAATACATAAATTTTCCAACGAGTTGTTTTCCCTTTGATCGCGTGATTCACACTAATGAGTCCACGAAAACAACTTCATTGTCTACATCGTTAGATTCACCACGTTGCACCTCTAAATAAAATACAATATAGAATATATTAATGATTGATAACAATGAAATAATAAATTTGGTGTAACAAAATTTCAAATACATAAAATTATTACTACCTTTCTCTATTTCCTCTAACTCTTTCAAATTTTCTTCCACATCAACAATTGGCACTTCCTTAGCTCTAAGCCAATCTTGTGTGCAAAGTAACGCTTGAACCATCTTCAATACAAAAATATTACACAAATATGTATAAACAAAGTCATATTAAGATATAAACAAACTTGATTTTATAAAATAAAAAGATAACGATGCATTACCTTAGGAGTTAAAGAACTCCGAAATGGATCTAGAGTACGACCTCCCGTACTAAAAGCAGATTCCGATGCAACGGTCGACAATGGGATGGCTAGTATGTCACGTGCCATGCGATTAAGAATCACATAACGCTGACCATTCTTACCCCACCATGTCAATGCATCTTGTTCTTCCTCCTCCGGCCCTAATTGATCATTTAAGTACCTATCCAACTCACTTATCGCATACCCACTTGTCCCCTTCAATCGTTTTGCTCTTTCTTTTAGTTTCCTCACATAATCGGAACCCACTCCTTTACTATTATCAATATCCATTGACATATTATCTCCACAATCTGGAATATTAGAAGTAGCATACATTTTTCTATATTCCTCAAATAAAGAGTAAGCGAACTCCTTCACATCATTAGCAAGTTTTGTACCCTTTTCCGGTCCATGCATATCCGTTAGTGTCAATTCAACAATGACCATCTTAGAGTGAGGGTCGAGAAGAAGAGCAACATAAATGAACTTATTCATCTTATCCACATCCCCCCAATACTTATCAAACTTTTTTTTCATTGCAATGGCCATAGCTTGAAAATTCAAGTCCTCACTTTGTTCCCAATTATTCAACATATCATACATAGAAGCAATTTCTCCTAAACCTTTATTAGCTGTCACATAATGGGAATCAGAAATTCGTTTAGTTAACAGATAAAACCCCTCTAGAAACAAAACCAACCTCTCCACTTTTTCCCAATCTTCGGGTTCGGGAGGCCTTTCATTGTCATTCAAATCCTCTCCATCAGGAAGAGATAACCCACTAAAAACACGTCGAAACTTCAAAGCCGTTTCCAACATTATGTATGTGGAGTTCCAACGAGTGGGGACATCAAAGGATAAAGAAGATTTTGAATCTATGTTTGCTTTTTGCACAAGATCTTTGAATCTAAGTATTCTTGCAGGGGAATTCTTAACATATTTCACAGCATTTCTAACTCTATCAATGCACACACCATGTTCTCTAATACCATCCCACACAATTAAATTAATGATATGAGCAATGCATCTAACATGAAGATTTTTTCCATCATTTATACATCCTGTTCTTCTAACCATTCTACTCAAGTGTGCACAAGCAACATCATTTGAAGAAGCATTATCAACAGTGACAGTAAAAAGTTTATCATCAATACCCCAATACTCTAAACATGCCTCAACTGCTTTTCCAATAGCCTCTCCTTTATGACTAGAAATTGGACAAAAATTTATGATCTTTTTATTCAATTTCCAGTCATTATCAATGAAATGAGCTGTAAGACACATATAATTAATTCTTTGTATTGAAGTCCAAGTATCAGTGGTCACATAAATTCTTTGACATGTCTTAAACATTTCTCTCAATTTCTCTTTTTCACTATAATACAACTTTAAACAATCACGAGCAATGGTAACACGAGATGGAATGTGAAATTGTGGACATGCAACTTGCACAAAGTGCCTAAACCGGGTTTTTCCACATGCTTAAATGGTAACTCATCAACAATAATCATGTGAATCAATGCCTCTCTAACATCATTCAAGTTAATAATCCTACTCCCACACTTTAATTCACTACTCTCATGTTCTTGATCAAAATACAATTTAGTTTGCTTTTCTTTGCCCTTTTCTTTTTCTATATTAATAGGATTACCGAGACATGATTCTGCATGGTTTTTAACATTTTTTGAACCATTAAGATTACCATCAGCAGCAAAAGTTTTAGGACAGAACTTACATTCAGCTCGTAGTTTTCCATTCTCGACGTACTCTAAGTAATATTTCCAATACTCAGCTTTCCTCTTACTTTTTCTGTTCCATATATATTCCCGCCCCGCTTTTAGCTTCTTATCAGGAGGCAAAGTAGATTGCAATTCTTCCATATCCTTTTCAGAAAGTGGCTGTGACGTTTGTTTAGAAAAAGAAGCAGACCGTTTGGATTGAGAGCTCTCCATCTACAATATAATTATATACAATATAAGTAATTTTAAAGTAACAATTATATACACATACCATTTTATAAAAAAATTTAAGAGCAACTTACATTGCAAGAATAAGAATCCGTGGTTCCTTGACTTCCTTCACTCCCTGCAAGAATAAAAACAAAAATAAGAACCCCTGAACTACACACAGGTTAGCCAACTTATTTAATCTTAATAATCTGAGTCCATACTTTTAGCAGCCTAGCAGGAATAAACACAAATTTTAAAGTATAAGTTAGCTTAAAAAGTGTCCATATATACACATTAGAAATATCAATACCAGGTAAATAGCGTATATGATACGGAGTATGAGTTAGTTTAATAAGTGCAAGTCCATTCATTATTCATTAGAAAACCAAACAATGATTAATATAATGAATCACTAGTTCACTACTCATCCAAAAAATTTCTCAACGATCAAAATTTATTACGAAGTAGTAAGTTACTAAGTTGTGCCGCATTATGTTGGATCAATTTGCAGGTTGGTATTATGGTATATATTCAACTATTCATAATACAATGTGAAATTGAATTGCCACATATAACATTCAAACACAGAGACTAATAATGCATACAAATATACAATAGAGTACATACTTAGCAGTTTTTTGTATTATACAGAAATATTGATTGAGATAATGATGGATTTTTTTTTTGTATTTCTCATCATCAAGACAAATTCAAGTGGAGACATATATTACCTTGAATAACTTATACTTTAGGAATAAACACAAATTTTCGCACTAAATTAATCTTAATAATCATAATAAACACAAAATTTCGAACTAAATTTCGCACTTGAACCCTAAACCCTAAACTTCTTAATTCTTATGAACCCTAAACTCAAAAAAACCAAAAAAAAAAACAGAAATTCAAAAGAGATGAACTAAAAATAAGAAATTCAACATGCAAACATCAAACAAATAAACAATCATTAAAAGCAATTGAAAATTTGAAACAAGAATAAACATATAAATTCTCACACTTAAATTTATTATTTCGAATTAAAAATACCAAAATTATAAGCAAATACTTACCAGATATTATCGGTGTGCATCGCCTGAGAGAATGAGGGAGGTGTCGGCAGTGGGCGGTGGCCGGAGCGAGTTGGGACAGCCGCGTTGAGAAGTTGAGATTGAGGGAGGCTGAGAGAATCAGTTTGGGCTTAGGGAGTTAGGGTTAGAACTTAAAAATATGAAAGAGAAGTTTTAACGTCAGTTTCAATTTTTTAGAGTTTGGTTTTCTTTTTTTTTTTTTTTTTTTTTTAATTACGATTTTCCCGGGTTTCAGGTCCGGACCTGAAAACCCCGGGTTTGGACCGGGTCCGGACCGGGACCGGGAACCTGGATTTTTAAGAACCGGGACCGGACCTGAATCAACAGGTCCGGGTCAGGTCCGGTCCGGTTCAGGTCGGTTCAGGTCCGGGCCAATTTTTGTACACCCCTATTGTAGATAACTAAATTTCAAAATCTACACCAAAAATTCAAAATCAATTTTGGATTGAATAAGATATGGAGTATGCAAATTAAAGTAAAGAGTACTCACTCTGTTTTAATTTAAGAGTTTTAGATTGATTCCTGCATTGTTTACATACATTATTTTACCATCATTGTTTTAGATTGATTCCTGCATTGTTTATATCATTATTTTACCATCATTGGTTAAATTAGGGCACTTAATAAAAGCAAAGGAAATACTTGTATATGACATAAAAACTGATAACACGATATTATACATGATTTATATGTGATATTTGGTCATATTTTATTGTGTTTCCTTCATTTTCCTACTCTTTTAGAGCTATTATTCTTCCTATTTTGATATTGCTCTTCTCGGTTTGTTTGTTTTTGTTTTTATAGGAATAGGGATCGATTTGTGTGGAATTCAACTTGGACGCAAGATATTCTTCATATGGAGCATTTTTTAGCATCCACGAAGCATCATGACAGCCTAGTCCGCAGCTTGATTGCAGTTTACTATGACCTACCGCAGCTTACCTGCGGCGCACTTCACAAAGGAGCAAGAATTCAAGTCGGCAGCCTACACCGCAGCAATACCGCGGCTCGCGACCTTGTACCGCAGCCCGGTTGCAGCCTCTTC